CCGAGGTTCGAGATCCGCCTGGGCAACTTGACGAGACCTCGTCTTTACAATAAATCAAAAATTAACCAGGTGTGGTAGCGCGCGCCTGTAGTTCCAGCTACTGGGAAGGCTGAGGCGGAAGGATCGCCGGAGCCCAGCAGGTCGAGGCTGTGGTGGCCGGGAGCGGCCACTGCACTCCAGTCTGCTGGGCGACAGAGTGAGACTCTGACTCAAAAAAAAAAAAAAGAAAGAAGGAAAGAAAGAAAATTAGCTGGGGTGTGTGGTACATGTCTGTAGTCCCAGCTACTCCACAGGCTGAGGCAGGAGGATTGCTTAAGCCCAGAAGTTCAAGGTTGCAGTGAGCTAAGATTGCACTCCAGCCTGAGTGACAAAGCTGTCTCTAAAAAATAAATAAGTAAATAAAATAAAAGATGAACTACTGCTACCAAAAAAATAGGCTAAAAGAGTGAAACTCAAATGGCACTGAATCTTCTGTCTTCACAATTTTTAAGGATGTTTTGATATGAAAGGTGATATTTATTGCAATTCAAAACAAGATGTCTCTCAAACAGTCCTTGGTTGCAATTGTAGACCCTGCTGTCTTGGGGTGTTAGCATGTTCTCACTGGCTTGTAGAAGACTACTGTCACAATGGAAGTTATAAGTCACATACGTATCACATTTAGTATATATATTTCCCAGCTCATTTTGTTTTTATTTTATTAAATGTCTGAATGTGAAGAAAGTAAAAAAGTTTTAATTTTTAATGTAGACAGAACCATTCCATTTTGTCTTTATAATTTATTTCATTAAATTAATTTTTCTCTTTCCCTGTCCAAAAATGAGAAATGTACCTATTTTTATCACTCTCCAAATTTTTTTGTCCAAGAAATATATCCTGCAAAGATTTCTTATGCTGTAAATTTCAGAATAGGCTTGATCTTCTAACTAGTCAATTTCCTCAATATTGTATGAAATCATTCATGCTTTCCCACCTGGTTCATGAAAATTCCTATATCATGTATTAGAGTTGACTTCAGGCCTACCTGTCCTCTTCCAATAATAAAAAAAATAAAAAATAAATTCCATTGGAGTTATGGTTGGAATCATATTGTACTTAGATTTAGTTTTGGAAGAAATCACACCTTTACCATCTTTTCAGTCAGAAAAGATACAGTCTGTTGTTTCCAAGTAATTCAAGGTTCTTTTGGCATCCTTTGGGGTAATTTTTAGTCCCCTTCGTATGAGAACTATTTTATTACTACAGTTTTCTCTAGATATTTTGTATTTTTGGTCATTACTATTAATATCATTATTTCTTTCATAATTTTTCTATAGGCTATTTCTAAGAAATCAGTAAGCTTTTGCTTTTTTTTTTTTTTTTTTTTTTGAGTTGGGGGTCTCACTTTGTCGCCCAGACTGGAGTGAAGTGGCCGCTCCCGGCCACCGCAGCCTCAACCTGCTGGGCTCCGGCGATCCTTCCGCCTCAGCCTTCCAAGTAGCCGGAATTACAGGTGTGCACTACCACGCCCGGCTGATTTTTTTGATTTATTGTAGAGATGAGGTCTCGCTGCCCAGGCAGGTCTCAAACCCGCGGACTCAGGCAATCCACTCACCTCAGCCTCCCAAAGGCGCAGGATTACAGGCTGAGCCACCAAGCCCAGCTTACTTTTTTTTTTTTTAATACAGCTTTTGCATTTTAATGCAAACTTATATCTAGTCTTTTGATTGGACTATCAGAAGTTCAAAGAGCTTTCATCTGATTCTCTTAGATGTCCGAATCCTGCAGTTATATCATCTGAAATTACTTTTGTTAGGTGATGGGTTTACCCTGGCTGCTCTTGGTCGTGAAGCTGCCAAGCCTGCTCTCAGTTGCCCAAATGTGGAAGGGATTTAGGGATGGATTCTGCAACCCCTCTCACCAGTGGGCCTCTTAGCCAAATAACATTCCTCACACAGCCAAAAACAGTGGAAGACCCATTCCAGTGGAAAGAGTGGGTTGGGGCAGAAACAGATGTATTACATCCCTATTAATCTTGTATGTATACAGGCATAGCGTTGGTCTCTCTCTCTCTCTCCAATATTGAAACTCTTTTATTAGTTTACTGTGCATTTTATTGCAAGGACAGGAAGGTAGTATTTAACTCTATACTGATACTAAGCATTTACCAGAGGACTAGGAGTCCCTGGGAAGCATTTCCCACAGTAGTGGTCTCAACTAGCACCTTGTGTTCAAGATTGATGGGTCTTTGGGCACAGAGAAGGTAGCTCTTACTAGAACAGTTCTCTTGTGAAGGTTACAGGGAGGCTCCAAGCTGCTGGGGATGGGCAAAAATGGTCTCAGGGTAGAGGGAATGGGGGAAGCCTAAAGCCCTAAATTCTGGTTGGATGTGCTACCAGGGAACCCTCAACTGCCTTGGAGTCATTTAGGAGGGGGCAAAGTTGGGGCTTTTCAATTCCACTTCCTTCTCACCCCAGATTGGGGTCTGTTTGTATCACATTTGCATGGATGGTTTTCTTACTCTCCGGTGGTTTAATGGGTTCATTTAAGGAAACTGAAAGAAGGATGAGGCAAACAGGGAGGATCCTGTTGACAGCTGCCGCCCTCTCCAGGCCAGCAGTGATGTGAGTGCTGAGTGACAGACCAGGGACCCTGGCATAGGCTCCGCTGCCCCTTCAACTAGCATGTATCATTTGTCCAGAAATCCTCTGAGCCACATCCCTCCTCCTTGTGTCAAACGCTAAAAACTCCCAAATCCTGTAGAAAGTCATCAGAACCTCTGTGAACTGGGGTCAGGTTCTCAGAGTATGAGAACCATCTAATCTGGTTCCTGAGACAGTTGCCCGGGCTCAGGTGGCTCCTCACTCCTCCCCTGTGTCCAAATGTGTCTCTCACTTGGGTCTCTGGTCTACTCACTTTAAAGGTGTGGATGAGTCACAAAGGGCAGTTGGAAGCTCCACCAAACGGTCCCCGCTGACGACTAACAAGGTGAGCTTCTTTAGGTTAAGCATGGAATAAGGAAGGTAGGTCAACTTGTTTTTATACAAGAGGAAGCTCTGCAGTTCTTCTAGCCTACGAAGAAGTAAAAAGGATCAGCACACAGGGACTTCGCTTCACAGCTAAGAGAACCAACGCAAACTGCAAATAAATTCCAGTAGAAAATCCCTACTATGTTTATTTTATATATGTGAGCTTTATGAGAACAAATTCTAAGCTTTAAATTAATAAAGTTATGCCAGGCAAAGAGGTGAGGGTTTTTTTAGGTTGTTACTGACTTCACCAGTTGAAGCCACAGATGTAGCAGCAGGAAAAGCAAATTGTACAACACACAGTAGGCCATGATGGGGCCTTAAAAGTCGATAAATCCCTTCTTCCAAGTGTCTTCTGCATTTACAAGGGTTAACAGGGCACGAGAAAGAAATTATACTAAAGTTGGAGTGAGAATAAACAGAGTTTGACCATGCATTTCCTTTTGTATGTCTTCAAAGCACAGTTAATCTTCTCCCATCATATTTTCTAATTTTAAAACAGAGTAAAAAGGAAATTAGCAAAATATGTTTCAAATATGTTTTACTCTGTTTTCCATTTTATTCTAACTCGGTGACCTCCCGCTAAGATTTTTCTTTTGTTCATTTGCAAAATTTTGGCTAATCCCAAAAATATTTCATAAAATTCCCCTTGTGTTTTTTTTGTTTTGTTTGAGTTGGAGTCTCACTCTATCACCCAGAATGGCCACTGCAGCCTCGACCTGCTGGGCTCCGGCGATCCTTCTGCCTCAGCCTTCCAAGTAGTTGGAATACAGGCGCGCGCTATCACGCCCAGCTAATTTTTTGATTTATTGTAGAGACGAGGTCTCGCCAAGTTGCCCGGGCAGGTCTCGAACCCTCAGGCTCAGGCAATCCACTCACCTCAGCCTCCCAAAGCGCTGGCTGAGCCACCGAGCCCGGCGCCCCTTGTGTTTTAAACTAAAACAATTCTCACTTAGTCTCAAGACCTCAGAAAGCATTGAGACATATCACATGTACCAGGAATACAGAAAGGCCATGAGAGATGGCATTCAGGCCTAAGCCATTGTTGGCCTCTCTGTCATCACAGGTTGCTTGTGCATCTTTATAAAAAAAGATCGTCAGCTGGGCATGGTGGCAAAGGCCTGTGATCCCAGCATTTTGGGAGGCCGAGGCAAGAGGATTATCTGAGTCCAGGGGTTCGAGACCAGTCTGGGCAAATTGATGAGACCTTGTCTCTACAATATAACAAAAAATTAGCCAGGCATGGTAACGCACACCTGTAGTTCCGGCTACTTGGAAGGCTGAGGTGAAAGGATTGCCTGAGCCCAACAGGTTGACGCTGGGGTG